GTTGCTCTGAGTGGGCACCATCAAGAAGAAAACAGTTAAAATGGGGTTCTAATCTCATATGTCTTGTGGTGTTCACTCAAAGCACACAAGAAACCTCTCCAAACCAGCACACCTGAGGCTTTGGTCTGGTACATCTGATATTCCTAAGGTTGTGCTTTCATATTGAGTGTTTATTGCCCGTGCTCTGATGAAACACCAGGAAGGCTGGTTGTGTGAACACTGCCAGAGGTCAGCTCGCCTTCATCTCTGATGTTTGCATAAGCTGGTTAAAGATTTGAGGTTAACCTCTGCTGATGTATTTAGAAGCTGCAAAGCCATACGGTTTTGGTTTCTGTGTTGGCTCCAAAATTTGCAGAGAACTAAACCAAAGGGTGCTTTGTGTTCAAAAGCTGTGAAAAAGCTTATTAACACATGGCATTAATAGAAAAGCCAATCTTTGCCCTGATCTGAACAGAGCTATTTTCCTCACTGCGTTCAGCTGCATTACTCCTTAGCTCACCAGATCCAAAGGCACTATGACAAGTTTGTGTATACTTAAAATGGGAATATTCACTTATGCCTTTGGACTTCACCAGATTAGACCTAATTTAAAGATTCTCTCAGCTATTCAGCATTCTTCCTATTGCTCTGGAAGGTGCTCTGCCAGGTGAGGGGGTTTCCCACCTATTACTGGGATGTAAACCTGGTGGAAAAGAGATGCCCATGGATGGTGTGGTCTGCACAGGAAATAGAAGTTCTCTCCTTACAGAGCCACATAGATTTTGGAATGTCTCCAAGGTGTGAGGAGACTCTGTGAACAACAGAATAAAAGTGTGTGGTATTCCAGCCACCAATAGTCTGAAACAAACTGTGGATTCCCTTTGCTCAGATCTGTAACAGTGTAAGTAAGAACAAGATTTACTTCTCAGCGTGCCCTTGAGAGTAGGTAAATCCTAGATGGCATTGGAGAATTACCAGAAATGTATCAATTGCAAGGGATTATAAAACCACATGGAATGCGTGAAAATTTGGTTTGGATTGAAAACAGTGGGCTGATTGTGGTTCATGTTGAGTGCAGGTCATTCAAGAAGTCACACCAAGGAAATTCTGCCTTTTGGATGTTCTTCAGCCAATTTCAGGCTTTGTACAGTGGAAAACTCAGGAAGGAGCCCAGGACAGCTGTGTGCAGGCAGAGCAATCATCAGGTGAGAAGGCTGTAGCTTCCAGAGGCATCTCTGTGTGCTGCTGAGCTTCTTGGAATGACATCTTGCTCTTTCCCTGAGTTCATTTCGCAGCACAAAAAAGCTGAGTTGCATTCATTTCACACCTTTGGCTATAGGCTGTGAGACCAAGGCGAAGCTGTCCTTAAGGGAAATACTTCTGAGTTTCGGGATATGTTTCAACTTCTGGTTTGCTGGGAAGGATAGAATAGGAAGCAGCTGAAGGTGTCAGGATAAAGCACCCAAAGGAGCCATTTGGAGCATCCTTCACCCCTCTGCCTTTGGGAGGTTATTGGGATGCTGCAGCACTGCAGTTATGGGGTCAAAGCTTGGGTGTGCGTTCAGTGCCTGGAATTATGGTGGCTATTTGTGGTGTCCTATTGGAAATTCAGGTGGCCACAGTGGGAATTCTTTGCACTGCGAAGAAGGTTGGGCAGGAAGACCAAAATGATACCTTCTGGGTCAACATGTTCACGTTCTGTGTAATGACTGGGTTTGGGCTGTTTCTGCTGGAGTCTGCTAGCATAATTAAGGCAATAGTGGGACGCTGCACACATTTGTCTGGGCTGCCAAATCAATCTCTCAAGCAAGCACTTTGTCTCCCTTGCAAATACGACTTCTTTTAACGCCTGATGGGAAAATGGTTTTGTTTTGGACGTCTCGATTCAGTTGCACTTACAGGAAAAACTTCCTCTGCTCGTTGTGTGGCTCCTCGGACTGTCTATGTAAAGCTTGGAACTTAATGAACTCTCTCATATATGAAAGAATGCATTAACTACAGGTCAGCAAAGTCTGTTTATTGTGCTGTTTCAGTATGGAGAGGTATTATTACTATGTTGCTTTTAAGGTCGCCTACTTAAAGGTAATTATTTAGTTTATCCAAAGCCATGCAGAATGCCAAAGCACAGCCTCTGCTTGTTTGTCTTAATGGTGCAGCGTAGTCAGAGTTCACCCTTGGGATAGCTGACTGCAGAGGAATGAAGAGATCTTGTTAATGTTCTCTTTTCCACTTGTCAAGGATTGCCATGTGGTTTCCCTGGACTTGTCATCCATTCCAAATTAATTGGAAAAAGAATTATATATTTTTTTTTTAACTTCCCCTTTAGGATTGGAATTCCACAGCGCTCTGTAACGAGGGTAGAAACCATGAGCCCGAATCTATTTTTACTCCTCGACACAATCCCACGTATTTTCCCACGATTTGTAATCGCTGTGGGAATTTATAGCAGGGTGGAGCCCCAAATTGTGTGAAAATCCCTTTTCTCTTAGGTTGTAAAGGCAAAGAACGCACCGGGGCACGGCCTTGTCTGAGTGTCCTCAGGAGGGGAACTCCAGCATTGATGTGCAAGCAAGGCTGGCCTGGCACAACCTCTGAAAGCTGTGCTCTGCCTGGATGCATGTGTGCACGCAGAAAGCCCCAAATCTCAGCCCCTTTGGGAAGCCTCAGCGCCTTCAGATGTTGACCCAACACGACGCGTCCACCGTCAGTCCTGAACATCCACGGCAAGACCAACAAGTGAATCCAAATCATCAGACTTCCTTCCCATTAAAGGGTAATTGGTGGCATCCTGGCCTTTCAGGCACCAGACTGCTAAACGCCTCATCAAACATTCAAAAGACTTGCAGAGCCCAAAGAGGAAAACGAGGAGAGATTTTTTTCCGCCTGATGGACATGGTGTGTAATTACTGTAGGCACATCCTGATTCTCCGTCTGCATTGCTCATCACTGCTGTGCTTAAGAGTTACTTGATATTCAAAGGATGCCCCAGCCAAGTCAGGTTTTCATAACACGGCTACGTTATGAAGTATTTCACTCTTTAATATTGGTGTGCACGCACTTTCATCATGTATCGGACGGCAGTTTGCTCTGATACCAAGTGCCATGGGATGTCTGCATGCTGAATGATTTCAGGATAGTTATGCTAAGCAGCTCCATGGGGGGAAACCTGCACTCCAGCACAAAAGCACCTCGTTCTCCTTTATCGTAATCCATGTTTAAAATGGATTATGATGCAGAGCAGGCCACTCCTATTTTGGAGTAATTTTATATAGGAATGACTTCTGTGCTTTCAGCTCACGCCCTGCATTATCCAAAATAGCTTTGAAGTGCAGACAAGTGTCTAATGTGGTTCTAGGATTTCCATTCTGTTCCCTGGCTTCTCCTTGTTCCTTTGGGAAGGTCCAGAGCAAAACCAGACCTGTGGAGCCTGTCATTTAGGTTTTTGTTTTTGTAAGCTTCGTACCATGGGACATTTCCAATCTGATTCCCAATTTATGTGCATCCCCACGTAAGTTTTAGAAGGGAGTATTTAGGGACAGGCTTCTGACTCAGAGCCATCCCTACAAACTACATCAGCACATAAAGTGTTCTTGCTGAAACAGGGGGCCCTCTGGAAGCCTGTGGCTCCTTCTGGGACCTATTGGATTATTTCTGTTATCACTGTCCTCTTCTGCAACCTCCAAAGGAAACAGAATTTTGAGAACATTCCAAGGTAACCTATGTGCCCAGCTGCCAGTTCTCTAGCTGTGATAGCAACAGATGTGTTGGGAAGGCTGCAAACGTTCTCAGCATCCCCTCTGGTTTTGCCAAATGCCGTTGCCATGTCTGCTCCCCTGGAATGCCATTCCCTGAGCTTTCTCTTGGCTGTGCCGGTCGGATGGATGTGAGCCATGGAACTGAAGGGTGTCCTTTCTCACATCTACACAACAGTTTCAAGGTTCAGCCACAGAGGCAGGAGGACCTTCGTTCACAAAGACGGTGGAGGTGCTTTCTTCAAATAAAAAGAGGTTTATTAAGGTAATGAGAACGACATTACGGTGTGGGTGTTGTACATCTAGTGCAGCATTAAGAGAAACAACAGCAAGTACAAAATCCTGCAGAACTTCTATTGTTATCATAGCCTATCTCGTCCATGCTACAGTTCTGTGTATCCAAAACTTCATTCCCATTTCTAATGGCAGAAAGACCAGAAACGTCCATCTTTCAAAAAGGAAAAAAGAAAAAAAAAGAAAATAAACCAAACCAAATAACCAACTCAATTTGATATAAATAACTCGCGCTGGACATTTTAAAACTTTCAGATTTAATTACACATAAATAAATATATACAGATTTAGAACAGTTCAGTTTGGCCTGGTTCAAGTTCTGCTCCTTGTGCTTAATTCATTATTATTAATAATAACTTTAAAAACGTGTGTGTGCTGTTCTCTGTAGGTTGTGGAGTTGCAGCAAGTCCTGGGCTCCGTGTTCCTGCTTTGTCCCTCCTGGGAGCATCGCAGGTGCTCTGCAAAATGAAGCCTGAAACCGCTTCAAACCCAAAGCTGGAGGTTTTCTCCTGGCCTGGCTTTAGGGCTGGGCTGTAGGTGGGGAAATAGGAAGAAATAGGAAGGTTGCTTGGGTCAACTTGCTTGCCCGTCACAGCCAGCTGGCAGATCCAAGCACAGCTCTGTGCCGCTCGTGCCCCCACTCCTGGTATTGGGGCGGCTTTTGTTCGCTCCTCTCAGTTCTTTGCTCAGAACAAATTCCTGGAGCTTGGCAGGATTTTATTACGGGCTTTAAAAAAAAAAGAAAGAAAGAAAGGAAAAAAAAAAAATTGCACATGACTTGGCTTCCTGCATCCGTGATTTAAAAAAACAAAAAAAAGGCAAAACGAAAAAGCCATCAAACTGGCTTATTTTCTCCTCCTCGCCACGTCTGTCAGAGTTGTTTTCTTCCTGCTGAGCTTCGATCCGTTTCTCTTTTTGTAGTTTGCATTTTGAGTTTCGCGCCCGGGCCGCGGCCCCCCCCCCCCCCCGTTCGAATGGAGCGGTTCAGAAAGCGCCGCGTCCTCCTGGCACTGCTGACCTTCCTCGGGCTGTGGGAGCTCCCCAGGCAGGGGATGGAACCTGCACCTCACTTCCGATGCTTCCCGTCCTTCTCTGACGCTTTGGAGTCTCCGGCCGTGTGCCCGTTCCCTGTGCTGCTGATGAACATTTTATCCAGCCCCTTGAGGGACTCCACCAGGTAGTTCTGGAAGGCTGTCAGTGCTGCACAGATGGCCGGGCCGCCGAAGCCGTGGGTGATGAGGCTGAAATGAGTCAGACAGCTCTGCACGCCCGGCTCCAGGATCAGCGAGGGGCGGCTGTTCCCCAGAGGTGAGCGGTCCTGTGCTATCAAGTCTGCAAACTCTTTGCAAATTTGCCTGGAAGAGAAGGTTTGAGTTGGAAGGGATCTTTAAAGGTCATCTGGTCCAGCAGCCCTCGTGACAAGAGAGGCATTGAGGTGCTGGAGTGTGTGGAGGGAAGGGCAACGGAGCACAAGACTTATTAGGGGGAGGCTGGGGGAGCTGGAGTGGTTCGGACTGGAGAAGAGGAGGCTCGGGGCCATCTCATCACTCCCTACAATGAGCTGAAGGAGGTTGTGGCAAGGGAGGGGTCAGCCTCTGCTCCCAGGTAACAGCAATAGGACAAGAGGTGATGGCTGCAAGTTGCGCTATGGGAAAAAGGATGCACTGACACAGGCTGCCCAGGGAGTGGGGGATCAGCATCCCTGAAGGTGTTCAGAACAATGGAGATGTGGCAATTGAGGACATGATCAGTAGCCATGGAGGGAGTGGGCTGGGATTGGACTTGGTGAGCCCTCTGGAAGGGCTTTCCCAACCAGAATGATTCTATGATTTAAACGAACAGGGGCATCTACAGCTCAGTCAGGCTGCTCGGAGCCCTGACCAGGTCTGGCTGCATACAGCAATGCAACCACATCCTCCCTGCAGAAGACAAAGCTTTTGTGGCCGCCCCTGCACCATGACTGGAGTCCGGCCCAGCACAGCACTCACTTGGTGGCCAGCAGCATGTTCTTCCTGGTGTGGAGCTCCGTGGGGTCGGAGTGCTGTCGGCACAGGTACTCTGCCGCCGCTTTGGCTGGGAATTCTGTTTCACACACGTAGCCAAAATCCCGGGCCAGATGGACAGCTTCACCTGCAGGTGGGACAGATTCACACAATGCATCAGCACCCGGCTGCAAGGGGACATTTTCTCCAACAGCCTCAGATCTGGCACTGTCGGGGTTTATTTCTGCTGGAATCAGGGTGCTCTCCTATCACAAGTGCCACCCAGGAGCGCTCTCCCCCTATGGCTCTCAAGCTGGTGGGCACCACTAAGAGTTTCTCATACCCATCTGTAAGACCATTAGTGCATGTGGGTCTAAATGAACTACCACCACCTCTAAACAGAAGCTGGTCCCTTCCTCTGGTGACTTAAAAGGAGAGTGAAAAGAGACCTTAGCAAGCCAGGCCCTCGGGCTGGCTGTACATGCACATATCCATCACCCCTGGAAGAGCCCACCCATTGATGGAATTGATCCATCTCCAGGCGTCCCCCTGGAAATAATCAGAGCTGATGGCAATCGATCACATCCAGCACCCGAAATCCCGCTCGGGCAGGCAGAGCTAATTGGATGTGCCCCCTGCGGCTCACACACACGAGGCCATCCATCCTGATAGCATTAACCCAGATCCCAGCACAGCCCACCCAGCTCCAGGGCTGCTCTGCAGAGCTGTGGCACAGGGAATGTGCCTGCGTGCTTCCTGCACAGATCTGCTGCTTCCACTTCCACCTCCTCCTCCAAAGAAGCAGCAGATGAGGAAAAACTTAATTGGAACTGCAGTCGTTCACATGTTAGAAAACAATTAAAGCGCAACAGCTGCTGAAAAACAATCACTGTGACACCAAAAATGGGGAAGGCAGAGGGGAGAAGAATAAAGCGTGGCAGCAAACATCTGAGAAGGAGGTACCCGGGGTGCAGGGGAACCAATCCATCTCTGTGTGCAATGACGGTGCTGTAAGGCCTTCCTCTGGGTGAGACACCTCCAGTACTGACTTGCAGGAGATCGTATCCAGCGAGCACCTATGACACCACTATTTACTATGAGCTGGTAAATGGTAACCACAGCATCAGCAGCCACCTGAAATCAGACCGTACGTTCGTTCCTTCCTTCCTTTCTTTCTTTCATTCTTCTCCTCCTTTTCTTTTAATGGAAATCAACCTTTCATTCAGCACAAACCAACTGCCCTCGGTAACAACCTCCGCCTAATGAAGCGGGTCATTTAATTTGCTGGCGACAATGGAGATGATTTTCTATTCAGAATCTGCAGGCAGCTGCCTCCAGCACACTGGGCACGGACACAATGGATTCCGGAGCTCGAAGGCAGTCGGAGCTGTCACTGCGTCTGTCTGTCTGTCTGCGTCCCGCGTCCTTTTCTCCAAAGATGCGGCACCACCTCGTCATTTCCATAGCGCCAAAGGTGGGAGGGGGGCAACCCCACAGCTCTGAGCAGCAGCACTGCTCCACGTGGCACCTGGGGATGTGGTCAATGGGCACACAGGGATCTGAGAAGGCTTTTCCAACCTCGGTGATTCCGCGTTTCTATGGAGCCCCAGCCAAGCCCTCGGTGCTCCCAAGGACAGCGAGCTGGTGGCCATCGTGGGCACGCAGTGCTGCAGAACAGCGTTGGCCTGACACCTCATCATCAGCTTCACTCACACCTTTTCCTATTTGGTTTCGGTGGTCTTGACCAGCTTTTCCTAAAACTGCTTGGCAGAGTGAACAGTGAATTGAGGGCTGGCCAGGGGGAGCTCACAGCTGCAACGTTTCGCCCCGTTCAGCCCCAGATGCCCTTTCACAAATGAGCTATGACTGCTCCGACAGAAATGCTCCCATTTCAGAGGACAGACGTGTTTCAGTCAGTGCAGACACCGACAAAGGGCACTTCCAGTCTCAGTGTTGACCACGGCATACTTTGCTTTAAGTGCTGTCATTTGTGGAAAGCTGCAAATGAGGGGTGTTGGAGTTTCGGCACTCCCATCTCTCTGGGCTCTTACCTTCCACCAGTGATGTCAGCAGGGTGACATTGGCAGCTTTGCGCCGTCCTGCGGGTAGATTGAGGCCGATTTTCTCTAACCTTTCCCTTAAACACCGACCCCCATTTTTTGATTTTGCTCTGGAAAGAGAAAGAAAGGAGAAAAAAATAAAGTAAAATGATGCTGCCATTCATATTAGAAGAACCATAATTCATAGAATCATCACAATCATAGAGTTGGGTTGGAAGGGACCTCAAGGACATCCAGATCCAACCCCCTGGCCACGGGCTGGTTGCCAAGTACAAAATCAAGCACTGGACCAGATTGCCACGGCCCCGTTCAACGTGGCCTTGGGCACCTCCAAGGATGGGGCATCCACAGCTCTCTGGATTCCAGCGTAAGCTTTTCGGTTTGGAGGAAATAGAAGAGAAAGCAACGAAAAGGCCGTTCCCCAGCGAACCACGCAGCAGCAATTCCTCACCCCCAGCCTTACCTGCGCAGGACCCCGCCGAGGAGGGAGGCGTTGAGGCACTCGGGGGGCGAGAGCCTCCTCTGCACCTCCCCCACCGTCACCTTGTACTTGGAGGTGGAGCTGAGCAGCGAGAGGCGGCCGGGCACCGAGCAGAAAACCTCGTTGGGGTTCGTCACCCCTCCGATCAGCCCGTCCTTGTTCATCAGGGAGGGAATGGTGCCGTTGGCCTTCGAGGGGATGGGCACTGCAGGGCAGGAAAGGGAGAGAGGAGAGGAGAGCAGGCTTCAGAGGGCAGATCTCGGGAAGCACATCCGCAGCTGAAGCCATGGCATGGCTTCGTGTGCTCCTCAATGAAGGAGAAGAGGGGTGAGGTTGATGGAGCCAAACAAAAAAGAAGAAAAAAGCACAATGGAAGAAGCCCAGGTTCTACTCTCACTGCTTTCCCACACCTCCCACTCTGGTGCAATGAAAACTGGGGTTTTAGGTTGGTCTTTGGGAAGGTCTCTCAAGACCCACAGCCCCACTGCCCTGCACAGAGCTGAGAGGTGCCAGGAACACGGGAACCAGGGAAAGGCATCAGCTTCGGGGTCAGCCCTGCAAAGGGAGCTTGAGGAGCTCAAACCTCAGTAACACAGCAGGAGCTGCTGCTCATGGGCAGCATCAGAGCACAGGAGTCAGACAGCACTGGGGCAGCGCAGCACGGCTTCTCCCATGCGTCACCCCAGCAAGAAACGCTCTAAGATGCAGCAAAGCTTTATGGGTCAAAAGTTCTGGCTGAAACTAGTGCCAAAACTCTTTGGCTTTTATGTTCTGAAGTGAATAACCAATTTAACTCTGGAAAAAAAATAAATACATCAACGGATCTTCAATGAAGCCGAAGAGGGCTGCCAACAGCATCGCTTCGCATCGGCTTGGCCCTGACGTTCCCTGTGGTTCCCCAGTAATGGTTGCCCCATGGTGCCACACATGTGGCAGGTAATGCAGGGTTTGTAAAGGAAATACACATGCTCAGAATGGAACAGAAACCCTGAAAATTGATGGGGGATGGCTACGTGGGTCAGACCTATTAGTGGACGCTCACAATCAGCATATTGTAAGTGCAGCTTAACAACTGGTTGGCGTGGCAGCAAAAAAGGAGCAATGTTACATAAAAATGGCTTGTGTTTAAGGCTGTAAGATGAATTGGAATGAGAGAAGCTGCCTTTCAGCATGGGACCTTGGCATGGCCAGAGACTGAAGGGCACGATGCACCGCTCCCACTGGCACTGCTACTGCGGCCACTGGCTGAGGGGTGGGAAGGGAATCACAGCAACGTCATCACGGGATGGAGGAAACCAGAGCTATTTCCAGGAAGCAGCAACTTCAAAGTTCTCTTTCAGGGCCCTAGAACAGGTCGTGTTTGTCTCTAAATTACCCTTGCAAGTTTCACAAACATCCATGCATTACTGCAGAGGTGTGTGTCAGGGCCGGGTACCTGGTGGATGCTGCACCGAGCCGCCCCACAACCAGACCCATCACCCAGGGAGCAGCTGCTGCTCACAGCACTCTGCCCACCCACCAAGCACTCTGCATCATTCACACACGGACACATTCCTGCATGCCCAGGATCATGCTGTGACTTTTGCCCGAGCCCGCATGCGTGGCCAGGGAGCTGCGTGCACATGTGGGTGTCATGCAGGAGATGGGGCCATGCAGCACCACGCGTGTCCCTGGAATGGGGCGCGTGGGGAGGAGGCCAACCCAGCTGGCAGCAGCACCAGGCGCTGCAAAGCACTGCTGTGGGATGGAGCAGAGGGCAGGATGTGTGTTGGCACGCACGGGGGGGGTGGCGTGGGGACGCGCTTTGAAAGGACACGGTGGCATTTCAAGGAATGACCCTACAGCCTGAAACAACCCCACTGGGAGCTGCCCCACAGCAGCCCTGTGTCCAAGCCCCACGGGCACCGGCACAGCCCTGGCACGTGCAGGGATAGGGGCACCTCAGACAGCACGGCACACCACTGCAACAGCGCTGCATCCATCACACCACGTTGCCTTGATACAAGAATAAACATAGCCACGGTCGCCATTAATTATTAATGATTGTGATTTGGCCTCACCTGCAGTTTGCCTGGTCTGCTCTGCAGCTTGTTTGCCCATAAACATGCTGCAGGAGGGAGACAAGCTACCATTAAAGCCTGACAGCTTTGTTTCCTTGGCTTTGGGGGAAGCAAAATTGTCTCTTGTCATCTGAGTAAACCAAAAGTCCCCCTCGATCTTCAGCTGCTGCTTCCCCGCTCCTGCAAGCAGCAGGTGATCGGAGCACCTGAGCCAGCCTGCAGACAAAAGGAAGCGTAAGACCAGGGTGGCAGCCAGCGTGTCACCTGCACCGCGGTGAGGGCCACAGAGGGGGGACACGATGGCAGAGCTGGGTGCCACGCTGCCAGGATGCGGGTGGGACGTGCTTGGAGCTGAGCCCTGCTGGCCCTTGGCAGGGTGGAATGGATGAGCGCAGGGATGTGGCGCAGGGGTGGCCGCACTGGGATGTAAGTTCTGGGCTTGTCCTCGGAGACCCCTGCCCATGGCACCAAGGACCTTCCCCCAGTGGGTGAACAGTGGCCAGTGTTGGTGAGCGAGCGGATGACTGAGACCTGGAACAGCAGCACCTGGGGCAGAAATGTGCTGGAATGGGGACAGAACTGCGCATCACACACAGACTGGTCAGGCAAGGTTTGGGCACTCATCCCTTTCCCTGATGGATGGATGGATGGATTGGACAGAGCACAGCTGAGCCCAGCCCAGCCCAGGACGCTGTGATGGCAGCACAGGGATCGCCCACCCCACAGTGCTCAGTGCAGGATACGATCGCTGGGCTGCTCAGGAACCTCTGCAGGATGGGAAGAGCTCACAGAACAGCAAATCCCGACCCCATCCTGAACGCACAGCGGCGCCCCAGGAGCTGCCTGCTTACAGCAGTTTGGGACAAGCGGGGCACAGAACAAGTTCAATGATTTACCAGGAATCAACCATACGAGCACGACCTGAACGCACGCACTGTTTCACTGCATGCCTTCAGAGCAATCCAGACTGCACAGCACTTCCCAAACACTGGGCTCCAGAAAACCTGTTACCTTGTGCTGTGCTTCCAAAGCTCCAGATTCCTTCTAATGCTGCAAAATAATGATGTAATCATCACAGCACTGTCCTTCCATGAGGCTCAGCACCCACTGCCAGCAGCTCCCTGGTGCCACGCTGGACCCTGAGGTCACCTCCACAGTGCAAGCATCAACAAAAGGGAGACAAAGGCATCTGCAGCCCCTGGGTGGTGAATGTCACCAACAGGATGCACAGTGGGTGAGGAAAGGCACAGTGCAGCATCTCAGCACAGGGGACAGCAGTGCTCACTCCTGGGAGGCAGCTGCTGTCCCCACTGCACCACGTCCCTGTGCAGTTGTCCCACAGACAGCTTGAGTTACATGGGCAAAGAGCTTTTGCCTACCAGAGACCAAAAAAAAATATGAAATGCTGAACTGTGCTACCGGCTTGCAAAATAATTTGTAAGCAGGGAGATGTGGGGCTCCTGGCAATCAAATTGCTTATGGTATTAGTTGCCTGGTTCCAGTGCCAGCTGAAGCTTGGGGTGCTGCAAGGGGAAAAGTGAGTCCAGAGGGAAGATGCGGATTGCTGCCTGTCAGACAGGTCTGGTTTCCTCCTACTCAGATCCATTTCAGGCACATCCTCCTCCTCAGCAGCGTTGGACCATTGGATGCTGGCAGTTTCATTGCGACACCTCTCTCAGAGCAGGAGTGTGCTGAAGCTCAGATCACATCTAACTCAGCTGAGCCCCCTAAACCCCCTTCTCTGGGGCAGTCTCCCATCTCCACCCCCAAAGGAGCAGCTCAGCCCTGCGAGGCCTCTGCTCTGCATCACCAGCACCATATGCAACCCTTCCAGCTGCTCCCGCTGCATGCTGTGTCCTGCTGCTCACTGCGGGAGGCAATGCACTGGGTCGAGCTGCAGGCACTGATGCATGGCGATGGCACTGAGCACTGAGCCCAGGCTCTGCTCCCTGCAGCCGGGCGCGTTGCTCTGCCCTCTGCATGCAGTGCTGTGAGCACTGGCTGCTGGAGGAGCAGCGCTGCAGAGAAGCACAGGGGCCGTGCGGGGCTGTCTGCCAGCGAGAGCAGAACCAACCCAACCTTTGTCTGAGTGCCTCTGCTGTAAATTACAAGCCCAGGATCCATACATCAGGCAGTGTCTGCGTGTGGGTGTGAGCCAGAGGCAGCAGCTCCTGCCTGCTTCAGAGGAGGTGCGCGGTTCAGCTCCTGCCATTTCCTCATGCTTCAGCACAGAGGTATTTATGGAGGGGCCGGGAAGGAGGTCAGTGCCATCGGCCATATTTCAAACCGCGCTCTGTAATTATCCTTTCTTCCCAGAGGGGTTCTACAGGTATTTTCTTTATCTCGAATGCACCACCTGAATTGAGTCCCCATGTCAAAGAGGCTCTCTAGGAATCGGCTCGGAGGCCTCTTCAAATGGATGGACGGAAAGAATCCGGGTTTTATCTCTGTGCTGTCCAGATTGCTGCACTGTGATACGGAGCAGAGCTGGGACCGTCGGGAGGGGATGGAGCTGCAGGGCCCACAGCGTTCCCACGGGACAGCACCCAGCAGAGCTGCTGGGCCCATGCAAAGCTCCCTGTGTGTCATTATGCCTCCAATGCAAATCAATGCATTAAGGGATGAGCTCCATCACAAGGTGCCATGTGACATTCGTGGCCATCTCCCTTCCTGCACCTCTTCCCGCAGCCTCACCGTGCACCCAGTGATGTGCTGGAAGGACACACAGCAACGAAACGCACCCAGACCTTTCCAAAAGCACTGCAAGCACCTCTGGGACTGGGGAGGTGGTGAGCAAGCAATGTGCAATTACTGCACTTGTTGCAATTACTGCAGCTACTGCATCTCCCTGCTTTGCCATTTCGCAGTAACTCGGCCTCAAACCTTCCTTCTGAATCTGTAGTGAATTTGGGGGAGCTGTGCATGGTTGTAGGGCTGCACTGTGCTCGTGGATGGGAGCACTGGGAATGGGAAGGCAGCAATGTTAGCAACGTCCTCACAGGAACGAACAGAAATGGGCTCAGATCCCACTTTTGGTTCTATGATTCCCTGCTCCGGGCGGATCGAAGCAGCTCTGCCTCTGTATAGAAAAACACTCGGGCACAGGGGGAAGGAAAGGAAAGGAACCCGGAGGATGGGGAGCCCT